CAGCCTCTCCTCCCAGGCAGCCAGCGACAGGACGAGAGGACACAGCCTCAGGGGAGGTTTAGGTTGGGCATCGGGAAGAATTTCTTCACAGAAAGGGTGATTACACATTGCAGTGGGCTGCCCGGGGAGGTGGTGGAGTCACTGTCCCTGGAGATGTTTAAGGAAAGTCTGGACGTGGCACTCGGCGACAGGGTCTGACGGACGTAGTGGTGACTGGTTGTCGGTGGGAATCGATGATCTCAGAGGTCTTTCCCAACCTGATTGATTCTGTGACTATGTGTGGTTCTGTAATATTTCTGACTTATTAAGTGCATCGTGACTTAAAGCATCTCCACCCGTGGCTTTCCACCCCGGGTGCCTGGGCCACATTTCAGTGCTGGGGAGGTACCTGGGCCACGTTCGATGCTGGGGAGGTGCCACACTGGTGCGGCGCCCTTGGCAAGCACAGAGGTGCCAAAGGCCAAGTGCCGCTCCTGAACTAGGCTGTGATTTCCCTCTTCGACAGATGTTTTCCCCGTTTCGCCTGCAGACATTTCCCAGAGGTGCTTGAGCTTCCCTCTGCTCGGTGGTGACACCCAGTTATGGCAGAAAACCCCGTGCCCCCTGCCTGCCGTAAATAACACCCAGCACCCTGCAGGTAGATGGCACCGCCCTGGTTTTTTACCTTCACAGACCAGCGCCCCTTTACCCTGAGGAGAGGGGTATGGGAACTGGCAGGGTGCTGCTGAAATCCAGTTTCAAGAGGCAGATGTGTGGGAGGCACAGGCAGCCCTGCCTTCATCCTTCCTGGCTAAAGCTCCCTGTACGGTCTCTGGGAAAAACCAGGCAACTCCCAGGATGAGCCTGTCCATTTTGGGGTGAGACATCTCCCCTCTACCTCTGCCTGTTCCTTGGCTTTTTAAGAAAACCGAAAGTGCAAAGACCTAAAGTGCTCTGCAAATTTTTCATCCCAGTCCACTTGACCTGGGAGCATCCCTTTGCATTCTGTACCGCCAGATGGGTGCAGTGGCTCACTGCATGCTGTCTTCTCGACATCAGGGAAGATGTTCCTCTCTCTGTTCCAGATTCACCAGCAGGAAAAAAGTCCTGGGTTCACTCCAGGACTTCAGCAAAGTCCTGAGCCTTTTCTCCAGACACTGATGGGAGCTTGCTGTTATCTTCAGTGCAAGAGCAGCCCTACTCCTGTCCTTGCACTGGTAATTAAAATGCTTTGATTTAAACCTGTTGCTCCATTCCTACAGCTCAGCTCTCCTATGATCCCACATCCAACACCTGCCAGCCAAGAACAGAACGTAGATGTTCTCCAGATAGGACCAGAGCAACTTTTGTACAGCTGTCCTGGGTAATTACAGGATAATTACAGGCATGATTTATAGGGTAATAAACACAGATAACTTTTTATCTGCCAGCAATAAAACTAATTCCAGTGACCTGTCTTACTGTGGTGAAACCAGGAGAAAACCTTCCCTCCATCACTAAGTTTTGTGGAAGTAAGGGAATAATCAAGACTGAGCACCAATGGTGTCAGTCACATACTGTGTTGCTTAGGATGAAGGTAACCAAAACCAGCAAATTTTGGTAAAACTCCTGAGTCCTCAGAGCTCTGGCAGTGTCCTTTTAGGAAATAAAGCTGTTGGGCTGATAAGGTCAGTCCACGCCCAAGCAACTTCTGACTCCTTTGGCAGGCATCAGCTGGAGGATGGATGGAGGAGAGACTGTGCAGCACAAAACCAAAAAAAAAACCCACTTAATTGCCCTAGAGCTGTACTAAAATGAAGGAGAGGTTTGCAGCCTCCCGATGCTGCTGCTCCTGAAACACGACCAGGAATGCTCAGGGAGCAACATGCTGGCAGCCCATCCATCTGCACCAACATTTTGGGTTAAGTAGACACAGAAATGCCAAAAACAAGTCAAAAGGGCACGAATGAAAATTAAGCTTTTGCTCCCCCCCCCCGCCATACCTGATGTCAGCATTTCACCCAGGCAGTTCAGCATCTTCTGGGAACGTCAGGCTGGACTGCATCACAAAGTAACAGCTTGTTATTGGAATCAAGGCACCAAACCCAAACCACCGCCTGGTTTTATGGCTCAAAAATAAACTGTCTCATGAATATGCCTTGTAAATAAATAAATAAAATTGTCACGATTTCCTTTGGTTTTGTCAACAGAGAAGTTTATGCAAATGCAAGACGCTGCCAAAAGAACTGGTCCTGTCCTCCCCTTATTCCATCCCTTCTCCCCATCCCACTTTTGGCTCAGCACTGGCAGTTTTTGGCTGGAAAAGTCATCTTTTGGGTGGGCTCATTTCTGATTTGCAAGTGGGTGGTGGCAAGGGGAGGTGGAAAAGCCCTTATGGATACCCGGCATCATCCTTGCATCACACTCTCATTTATTTCTTCTTCAGCATTCCTTGTTAAGTTTCCCACTGAGGACATTTATTTTCCCTCTCTTCTCTGTCTGTTTTTCAGTCGCTTCATTTATTGCCAATTAACTGACTCGTTCGAGCTGAGCAGGGTCAGCAGATAATAGGAATCTGGGCATTTGTGGAGGAAAAGACACAGTGCAAATGCCAAGGAAATATGGCCAGGAGGCATTCGGAAAGCCAAGGTGTGAACATTTTAATTGACTAGGAAATAATAGAAAAAAACTTTTTTGTTGTTGTCCAAATAGTATAAATAGTAACACAGGTGCTTTATGGCCATTTCTCAGTTAATTATATGTATTTAATAATGATATATGTTACAAATATATGTATAATATACATATGATATCTACACATAATACACATAATATATAATACCATAGTAATATGTATTTATGGTTTCTATATCTTACGTGTATTATCCACACATGATATATTTTTCTATATTATATAAATATATATTTACTGCTTTTTCTACAATATAAATATACATTTAGAAATCCAAGAATTTGTGTTATATACATATAATCCCAGGAGGTGTATCTGGGCATCCAGCAAAGCAACCAAGGATCCCCAAGGATCTGCATATATATAGATGTGTGTATAAAAACATATATGTCTATCAAATATATATTAATATATAATTGATATATAATTGCATGTTCTGTATGTCCTATGTATTTATATATTAAATATTTATAAATTTATATTATAAATATACGTATTTACACAGTCTATAAAATCTATATAACATAGAGTTATAGATTGTAATTTTTCTTTTTTATTTTTCCAGTGAGTGACTGGGAAACGGTAAAAATCAACCTCTCAGCCCTCTTGGGTGGGGCACACAGGGCACGCTGCACCTGAGCCCCGCCGACTCCTGTTTGTGCAGCGAGTGCACCAGCCACCTGACACATTCCCGGTTGCTCCTCCGGAGCTTTGTTTCCTGTGACCAACACCCATTTGCACTATTTCCTAAACAAGCAAGGGCTCATCAGCGAGTGCCATCGGTCCCGCTCCTGCTTTCCCTTTGAACTGTCTCTGCGGGCTGGGGAGCAGCCAAGTTCAAACAACCCGTGCCCGTGCCCGGGCATCAGCCTGGGAGGACACAGAGCTTTAACGGATTTAATAGCACCAAACAGATCAAAGCTTTCAAATTGCATAATTAAAAAATATCCCCGAGGCACCAGTCTGTGATACCACAGGACGCCAACATGGGGTGCAGAAACCTGTGACTACGTTCGTCTGAAATTTTTCCCGAGTGTTTAAAAAGGTGTAAAAATCCACTATTTATTTTATTTTAATTTATTTTATTTTATTTTATTTTATTTTAAAACACATTTTATTCCAACATATGAACCATGTGTAGTGGAACAATGGCTGTGCAAACAGGGCATGGGGCAGGGAGAACCCTGTGTTTTAAAATAAAGATTAAAATAAAATAAAATATATTTTTTAATTCTATGCCTTTCTCTCTCTCTTACTTTTCCCTGTTTAAAGCATGGACACACAGCACACCTTTGGGGCAACAGCTGAAAGCCACTGAGTCAGAAACAAGCCTGGTTGCACCTAAAAAATCTCCTGTTAACAACCTTAGTTGGGGGAACAGTCTGGAGGTCTCAGATGCTCCCCCTTGGATCTGCAGGATTCTTGAACAGTGTTTTTGTAGCAGAGCCAACAGGGAACACAGCAGAGGTGGCAAGGGCAGGGTCACCTGGCTTGGGGGTGTTCAGTGGTGGTGGGAATAGCTGGAGCTGTTCAGGCGCCACAAGGGAATGGGGGTTATTTTGTCCACAGATAGGCTGGAGAAAAGCTCTGGAATAACTCAGTGTCTATTTTTAACTCCCTTCTTGCAGGAATTTTGCAGCGCCTGGCGCCTGGTGGCACACTGGCATGCACACGGCATGCATGGCGCTCCCGATGCGAGTCTGAGGGCAGGATAATGTCATTTGGAATAACAAAGCCCTCCTTGGTCCAGAGGTGCTGGAGGTGTTGACCAGCTACAGGTTTCTATAGGCCCTGTCCTGTCAGCTGCTTCTCTGCACGCTCAAAGTCTTCCTATTGATATTTCATAGGAAACAAATCCCTCGGGACAAGCCCTTATGGCAAACGACAGATGAGCCTTGTCCTTACCACCACCCGGTCGTCACCCTTTCACATTTGCCCCTGGGCCTGTTCCCACCACTATAATTAACGGCAAATCAGGTGTCAGCTTGCTCTGTTGGACATGGCTGTAGAAATTCTTGGCACGGTGCTCTTCCTTTCGGGGCTGGGAGCCAAGCTCTGGAGACACAGGAGAAAAACAGCTCATTATGACTGCAGCAGGGTGAGAGCTTTCCCCTTTCTCTCCTACATGCTCAAGGCTGGATCCGGGACCTAGTTGAGACAAAGTGACCGTGGCTGGACATCTGTGTGTCCAGCCAGCAATCCCAGGTGGGGAGAGTGTCACAGCACCATGCCAGGCTCAGCCAGCTCCCAGCATCTGCATCCATGGTCAAGCAGGTCCCCTGCAAACCAGGAGCATGGTGGTGGACCTTGGAATGCTGGCAATGGGGGGCCTGACTTGGGTCTGGAGGTCTGGAAGGTGTGGCACTGAGCCACTGGATAGCCTCCCTCACTACCCCAGTGCGGCTGGCTGGGGATGCTAACAGCAAACCTTCCTAGCCCAGAGGATTAGGGACTAGCACTGCTGGTGACTCCTCCTGTGGGTTTGGTGAAACGTCTCAGGGGGTGTGTGGTGACTGACTGGCAGCTGGAGGTGAGGGGAAGAGAGATGGTTACCAAGTCACTCCATTTGGCCAAGTGGAGCATGAAGAAGTGTTTGACCGGCCAGTAGTTAGGTCTTAAATGTTGGGCATACAGAAAGAAGGGCCATGCACTGGGGCATGGTGAACCTGGCAATGTAAAAAAAAACAAATGTGGATTAAGAACAAGACTAAAGGAATTGTTATCTCTGGTTTCTCCACCAGTAGACCATGGGTTTTTTCTAGTGAGTCATAGATCTGCAGAAAAGCAGAGGCCAACAACAACCTCTGGAGGTCCCTCCTCCAACCTCTGCTAGATCATATTGCTCAGGGCCAAGGTTTTCATCTCCCAAAACAGAGATCCCACAGCCTCACTGGACTCCATTGTTGGATCACCCTCACGGAGAACACATTTTTACTTAATGTCCAACTGACACTTCTCATCTTTCACCTTGTGCCCACTGCCTGTCCTTATACTTCCCCTGCGGGGTAAGGCCCTGCTAGACCTGCTGTTTACAAACAGAGAGGGGCTGACGGGAGATGTAGTGGTTGAAGGCCGCCTGGAAAATAGTGACCATGAAATAATAGAATTTTCAATACTCAGAGATTCAAGGAGAAACAACAATAAAACCTCTACGCTGGACTTCCGGAGGGCAGATTTTGACCTATTCAGAAGTCTAGTCCAGAGCATACCTTGGGAAACAACCCTTGAAAACAAGGGGGTCCAGGAGGGATGGATGTGCTTCAAGCAGGAAGTTTTGAGTGCACAGGAACAGGCTGTACCGGTGTGCCGAAAGGCAAGCCGGCGGGGAAGACAACCAGCTTGGTTAAACAGGGAGATTCTGAAGGAAATCAGGGATAAAAAGAGAGTTTACCAACTGTGGAAGAAAGGGCTGGTTACTTACGAAGAATTCAGGAAGACAGCTAGATCATGCAGAAAGAAAATCAGGGATACAAAAGCGCAATTTGAAGTTAAATTAGCCACTTCTGTTAGGGATAACAAAAAGTCCTTCTATAAATACATTAATAACAAAAGGAGGGGCAAAGAAAACCTCCATTCTCTGAGGGACTTGGAGGGAAACATAGTTAATAGAGATGAGGAGAAGGCTGAGGTACTTAACACCTACTTTGCCTCAGTTTTTACCAGTAGGACAGGTGGCCCTCAAGGCAACTGGCCTCTGGAGCTGGTAGACAGAGATAGGAAACCAAATAGTCCCCTTGCATTCCAGGAGGAAATAGTTAGCGACTTACTGAGTCATCTGGATCCTCACAAGTCTATGGGACCAGACGAGATCCATCCTAGGGTGATGAGGGAGCTGGCAGAAGAGCTTGCCAAGCCGCTCTCCATCATCTTCCAACAATCCTGGCTCACTGGGGAGGTCCCATATGACTGGAAGTTGGCAAATATCACCCCAATCCATAAAAAAGGCTGCAAGGCTGACCCTGGTAACTACAGGCCTGTCAGCCTGACCTCGGTGCCTGGCAGAGTTATGGAGCAGATTATCCTGTGTGAAATCACACAGCAGCTACAGGATGGATAAGGGATCAGACCCAGCCAACACAGGTATAGGAGGGGCAGATCCTGTTTGACCAACCTGATCTCCTTTTACAATCAGGTGACCCGCCTGGTGGATGAGGGAAAGGCTGTGGATGTTGTCTATCTGGACTTCAGCAAAGCCTTTGACACTGTCTCCCATAGCATACTCCTGGAAAAGCTGGCAGCCCATGGCTTGGACAGGGGCACTCTGTGCTGGGTCAGGAACTGGCTCGAGGGCCGGGCCCAGAGAGTGCTGGTGAATGGGGCTGCATCCAGTTGGCGGCCGGTCACCAGTGGTGTTCCCCAGGGGTCAGTGCTGGGCCCAGTCCTTTTTAACATCTTTATTGATGATTTAGATGAGGGGATTGAGTCCATCATCAGCAAATTTGCAGATGACACCAAGCTGGGAGGGAGTGTTGACCTGCCGGAAGGCAGGAGGGCTCTGCAGAGGGATTTGGATAGACTGGAGAGATGGGCTGACTCCAGTGGAATGAAGTTCAACAAGGCCAAGTGCCGGGTCCTGCACTTTGGCCACAACAACCCCCTGCAGTGCTACAGGCTGGGGACAGAGTGGCTGGAGAGCAGCCAAGCAGAAAGGGACCTGGGGGTGCTGATCGACAGGAGGCTGAACATGAGCCAGCAGTGTGCCCAGGTGGCCAAGAAGGCCAATGGCATCCTGGCCTGCATCAAGAACAGTGTGGCCAGCAGGAGCAGGGAAGTGATCCTTCCCCTGTACTCTGCATTGGTGAGGCCACACCTTGAGTACTGTGTCCAGTTCTGGGCCCCTCAGTTCAGGAAGGATATTGAGGTGCTGAGCAGGTCCAGAGAAGAGCAACGAGGCTGGTGAAGGGACTTGAGCACAAGTCCTATGAGGAGAGGCTGAGGGAGCTGGGGTTGTTTAGTCTGGAGAAGAGAAGGCCTAGAGGCGACCTCATCACTCTCTTCAACTACCTGAAGGGAGGTTATAGCCAGGTGGGGGTTGGTCTCTTCTCCCAGGCAACCAACAATAGGACAAGGGGACATGGGCTCAAGCTCTGCCAGGGGAGGTTTAGGTTAGATGTTAGGAAGAAATTCTTTACAGAGAGGGTTATCAGGCATTGGAATGGCCTAGCCAGAGAGGTGGTGGATTCACCATCCCTGGAGGTTTTTAAAAAGAGATTGGATGTGGCCCTTAGTGCCATGATATAGTAATTGGAGTTGGATCAGAGGTTTGACTTGATGATCTTGGAGGTCTTTTCCAACCCAATCTATTCTATGATTATATGATTCTATGATTCTATGATTCTATGATTCTATGCACACCTCCAAGAGGAGCCTGGCTCCATCTCCATGTCTGCTTTGGCATTTGCCTTTGCTGGGCTTTGTGAGATTCCTGACAGACCGTTTCTAGGGATGAAGTTGTCTGGTCTCCTCTCTGGGTAGTTCCTGTTCTCAGTCATGAGGGAGGAACTGAAACTACTGACATGTCTTAATACAAGATCCCAGATTATCACAACAGGGAATACCTTCAAGTAGTTAAGGGACACATGCCTAAGTACAGTATTTTATGATTCATGCAGTGAGGTGTACAGAATTTCAGTATTTACTTGTAGAGGTAAGTTTAATTTAAGGTAACATTAGAATCTGAATGAAAAGGGAATTTATGTAATATTCTCATGGAGTTGAACAGCAGCAGAGCCTTAAGGTGAAAGAGAAGGTTAACCCTTAGTTATAGGTCAATTTAACCACAAATTAGAACAGTAAATTTATCTGTGCTAAAATGTCCATCTCCTATCCCCACCAATCACAAAAAATAGTTTGACTGTATACTTACTTAACAACTACCTCTATATCTATTTCTTGTATCTGCAATTCTGTATTAACCACATGCTATCAAATTTAAAGAGGAAAAAAAGCAGAACAAACAAAACCTGAGCTTCCTTCTGACTGCTGAGTTTCTTAACATATACACACATTAATCCCTAGGTTAAATAAGGACAAGAAGTACACAGGAAAAACCCACTTGCATCGTTCAATGTTGTGTTTGTCCAGCAGCCCTGCCATCCAGCGTCCCACCAGGGACTGTGCCTGGACTTCTGCAGCAGACCCAGCTTTTCACAACTATCTCCCTACCAATGTCCCCTGCAGAGAGGTGACTTTTTTTTTTCCAATTCAGGACATTTCTGAATATTTTTTCTTGCACAGTTACCCAACCAGCTGGTTTCTGAGGGAA